GAGAATATTTCAAATATAATTTTCACATATAATGACTTCTCTATACTCGGCGCTCAATTACTGTCAAACTATTCGTTCTAATCTTGACGAATATTCGTATAACATTCCAGTATTCAAAGAAATATTTCACAATTATATCACTAATAAATAGCTAAAGTTGTTTTATTTTCAATCTCATTCAATTGTCATCCTGATTGTCTATTAAAATCAAGGAGTTACAGGTGTTGGTAAAGAAGTTCATCCATGTTATAGATTTACACAAATATAAATCATTATGAAATATTTTAATTTAATTTCCTTCCAGTTTATTTACGCTTTCAGACCCTTTAGAAAGTACACTTTATCATAGTCAACCTTTTGCTGTTATCTTGCTTATTGTTTTCTTAAAGTAAACGCCTAATTTATCATAATTTTTGGATAAGTGTATGTATTATTGATAATATGTAGGGTCAATGAAATAACACTGAACCCTAGCCAAATTAACGTTCAAGTTAGATGTATCTCTACCTTATGAAACTGGTCACTTAATGTTGATTAACTAGTCAAATTTCAATTAGATTGAAGGTGACTAACGTGGATTGATTAATGGATTCCATGTAACAGCCACATGCAGCAGCTCGATCATAATCTGTGTATGTTACGTTCATAATCTTAAATATACTGTCATTTTGATATGTTTTTACCTGTTCTCTAAAGGTGTTACAGAAGCAAGATGGGCTGGTCATCAGGAGGGATTGTTCAGGTTAGAGGGTCATCACATGTTGTAGCTTCAACGTTAGATTAAGTAAGTTGGGCATTAGAATCGTTTCAGTTCAACTACTGAGGTTACGTCTGATGAATAAAATCTATTAGTTGAATACCATAAGTAAACTCAACATATCTAATATAGTCTATGATTAGAAGTTAGATAGCTATATACTAAAAGAAGCAAATGTCTTTGAGAATTTAAGGAGCTTTATTTCCTTCGAACAACTGAAAAACTGTTTGGGCCCATCAACAATAACTTCTGTATGTTAAGCTTATCACATGGATAATTTACATGATAAAGATTTGTACGAAATATGAATCAGTCAAACTATCAAACAAATGTGTTTAATTAAAAATGTAAAACTCTATTGCTACATTAAACCAACTCTAGAATACTCCTCAGGAATGTATATCTTCCCCATGTAGGTTCCCTAATGCTGTCGAAAATGGTTTTAAATGTTGTAGGTATCAGAGACAAGGTTGAACGTGATAGTTTCAAAAAAATTGAGTACAGGACAGCAAGGCAATAATAAATATATTTTGAAGTTATTTGCTGATAACGTGTCAACGATCATCATTAAAATATACTAATCTTTTGAAACAAATCAAAACACTTATTTTCCGGTTACAGAGAAAGCAAGTTTTACTTATTTAGTATGATAAATGTGTCTTTCTAAATACGTCAAAGAATACAATCATTACATTTTAGCTGATATATAAATTAATGAAATAAGAACACGAGCTGTACAACCATTGATTACAGATGTAAAAGTTATCTGAGCTAGCAACATAGTGTTTCAACAGTTATCAACACGGAGATAATTAATTTTATTTCTGATTGACTGTAATAAATAAATATTAATACAGTTCATCAAATGATAAATATGGTAGTTTTAAGATGAATAAGATACCTCTTTTCTAGAATTCTATACTATATTGATTCGGCTAAGGATGTTTATCCTGAAAAAAATGTCTGACATGATAATTACTCAGTACATATCTAAGTTGTTGGGTAAACAAATACTTGTTAAACAATCTTTTGTTATACACAAAAATGTCTACTTTTCGATTCACTCTTTTTACACATGTGAAACGTAAAAATACATGGATTCACTTAGTGTTGTTTGCTTGTATTTTCCCATCGTTATTTTGGATTGCAATTGATCAGTCTCTTATTGGCATATACACATCCTATGCGGATTGCCTCGATATTGCCTTAAGTCACAAACTTTATAAGCAAAGATAAATGATGGCTAGCAGTGGAATCCACGATGCGCGTTTCATCCTATTTGAGATTCGTCAACCGTGCGTAACTGCATTCCATAGTTGATGTTCACTCCGAGAGCGAACAGTACTAGGTCCGAGCCCCAAAATGAACATCACCTCGGATGCAGGCACATCCGTCTGACGAGCCTCAAATAGAACGAAACACACATCCTGCAATCCACAGCTAGTTACCATCCATCTTTGTTTATAAAAATACATAGTTGTTTAATATTATTTAGTACAATATTTACACTGTAAGTCAGATTTTTTACATGTCCTAATAACATTTCATCAAAAAGTTAAGAAATAATTATCATAAGAATTACTAGGAAAAATCTTCTATGTGAACTTCATTTATTTATGGTTTTAATTTTAAAATCTATCAAACAAATATGTGAAAACGAGCTCTTATTTCTAAGTTAGAAAATATTGCCAAAAGTATTAGACGCAGCTTATGAAAATTTGCTAGTAGGTCAAAATAAGTTAACTGAATAAATCACTTATTTAATTTGGTTAAAATGTAACCGATTTTATTGAAATTCCACTAAACTGTTGACTATGAGAGTTAGTACAATAGAACTTACATTTTTAAATCACTTATCTGTTAGCTAACACAATGATATGCCAAGCTAAATAACTTTCCATAAAAAAACACCATCAAATATGAGTGCTCATAAATTGTTTTAGATTTTTTTAATGATTTGTCCAGCCCAAAAGTGAAAAATGAATTTTCCTCTTAAGAAATGATTCACCCACTTAAATGTCAGTTTTTCTCTAGATCCTTCATTTAAGATTGATATAATATTTTTCTTCGCGAATTCAGTGGATAGAAAAGATGGCTCTATAGAACATTTAACGAAAATGATATATATGGGCGATTTATTTAAAAGGCTGAACTATGCTATGATCTCTTTATTTTATCAAGTCACTAATAATATAATTTAATGAAAACTTTACGTCGAACAAGAAACATCCTCATCAGATACCCTACCATAGAATGAGTAAAGTCTTAGTTTATGAATATTATGTATCTTGTACTATGTGATAACTGAAGCTTCTCGATCAGATCTTAAGTCTCAAAGCAATTGAATTTTCATTAATTGAAATTGTCGAATGAGTCGTGTTTGAACAAAAGGGGGGAAATAAATCTGTTAATTATTGTTTTTTATCAACTGCTAAAACTCTAGTTATGTGAATGTATCCAAAGAAATTATAATATAAATAATCAGATTTCCTATAATGATAATAGTACATTTCTGATTACACTAAGATCTTCATTATTACAGATATTTTAGTACTTGCATTATTTGTGGTTGACCTAATATCTCAACACCATAAGCAATATTTACTTCATAATTCGTAAGACAGAATTTTTTTCCAACGTCATATTGCAAGGAATTTCAAACGTTTCTGTTCAAAAAAGGATGCTTTATCAGTGTCAAAATATTCGATTATTGCTAAACTCGTTGAAAGGACTTGAGTATTATTCCTAGAAGTGTATAATGTAGAAGGATACTTAACTTTATTTATTATCTTTTCCAAACACTATCTCATATAAATCGTAACAGTTGATGTTTCATGAATTCAGAATTTGAAACTAAGAAATTTACTACTGTTAGACTAATTGTTACAGAATCACGTAATGTTATAGCCTTGAAAATCCATATAAATCTATCACTACAAAAGGGTGTGTTCTATTGAATTCAGGTATCAACATAAATAACAAGAATATTTTCAAGAATTTTTCCATCCATTAAAAACCAAACTGTACACAAGGTTTTAAGTATCAGGATATCTTTTGTAAAACCATTTAAATATAAATTACTTATTCAAACCAACCAGTTAGGATAATTCACCCTACAAAATTTTTAAGATATACGTAATTTAAAAACATTCATTTGGACGTTGAGTGTATAGCGTTTTAAACTAGACGGGATTATATTTTAATAAGCGAAAAAATCAAATAAACAGTAACTTTGTTGACGTACTATAGAGTTTCGTAAAGGTACTTCTAGCACGTATGAAACTATTAATCTTTTCTAAGAGGTATTTTCAATATGGAATTGAATTACAAGCATTAAATTTGATTGGCAAAGTTACGGATATCTATGCTGTGATTTCTTGTTTACATTTATTGTTGACTGATTTCATTCCTATATGGAAGCAATCACCATGTGCTTTCTGAGGCTGTGATTTCAGTTTGCAATCAAACATATATTATCACTAAGAGTTGGAAAGAAAAATTATATTATTCAGCCTAGCATAAGGTATAATAATATGTTACACTATGAAGTTACGTTTTTAGTTGTCGATTGTATAATCATATGCTCGGAAACAACTGAAGTAATCAACTGTAAATTATATAACTCAAGTTCATCTACAGATAGATTTATTTTCTACAGATTTCATTTAATTTTATTTAAACAAAATCAAAATTTAAGTTTAACTTGGTTAAGTTTCATTCTCATATTTATAGAGGAAAATAATAAAATCTCAATTATCTTACTAGAAATTTTTTTCAATGAGTTACCTATTTCCTTTTTTTTATATTTTTCTACACTTAAAAATATCGTAAGTGGGAAGTCGAACAAAGAGTATTTTTTTTTGACAATAATCTAGCTGTTTTTGTCTATCCCTAACCCGTACAAACACACACACACACAAACACTTATATTCATATTGATAATCTCCACTTTGAGATTCTATTATAGAAATAAAAAATAGTTTATTTTACAGGCAAGAACAGAAAAAACAAAAAAAAACAAAATCGAAATTATTCTTTGGTTATGTATATAATTTGATCAGCAAAAAGATAACTTTCCTGTTGTGAATATATATTTGTAGGTGTGTTTCTGTGCATGTATATTTTTCCATTGTAGTAAATAATTCGAACCGTTTAGTCGACTGTAACTCTTACATTCTAATTGGTTCATTCATTTTTGATAGATTTATAGACAGGTAGTAATCTTAATTGCCCTTAATAAACCAATTAATAGGCAAGCTACTTTTAGTAATCAAAAGTAGTGTACTTTTTTTTCTGTAAAGAAACAAAATTATCAGTTGAAGACAATGAAGAAGTGATGAAAGTTTTAATAAGTGCGACACATATCCCGTCGTATTCTTGAATCAGTTGATAAATAATGATTTTTAATAAACAACCTGCATAGACTAATTGTGATTAGATTGAGGGACGGCGATTTTCAGTAATATCTTTTGATTCGCATAAATTTATATCGAATACGTCACTTAATATCGATTTGAATCTCAAATCAATTCATTGGATTGACATTATTTAAACTACGATGCTGTCAAAATGCTACCAGATGTGCTTAGCTTACAACATTGGCTATTCCAAATTAAGTATCATATTTCATTTCTTATTATTTTCATGCATTATATTTTCAAATTTCGACCCAATTTTGTGCATAAATAGATACAATAAAGTTCCGAATGATTGCAATGAAATGCCTGAATACTCGTCTGTAATTCGACGTCCAGGTGATGGTGGCTTAGAAATTCGTATTCAGCTTTTGCCACCAGATGCAAAACGTCGACGTGGTAGTGGTAATAATGGTCAAGTAATTCTACATTCATCTGGTTTAAGTTCACCAAGTTACAAACCAGTAGTTCATTACCTAAATGGTAGGGATTATCTCATTACAGTTGGGCCTAAATTGCACTCGGATACAGTTAAAAATGGATTACGACTGGAATCTGTATACTTGACTGCTGTACCATTAGGTTCGCCAGAAAGTGAGGAATTTAATCAGAGTAAAGGAAGATTTATGCCAACAGTTTGTTCAAATCATGCCATCGGAGCAATTCGTTTTGCATATAATTTTCCTAACCACGTGAGCTTTGTATGGACAAGTCCAGCTAATTCAGAATCAACAATACTGAAATATACACCGAATGCACAAAGTTTTAATTCATGTCTTGAGATAAGAGCTACAATCATACCATGGCATTGGCACAGATTTTATTTCAAAAATTCTGGATCACTTCGTCATGTATTATGCCCAGCAGAAGATTTACGTCAAATTGACGAATGGTCGGAATATTTACACTCAAATACAAAATTATTTAGAAAAGTGAAAAGTGATAATGTTAAAGCACGATCTATCACAAACATTGGAAAATTCGATCATGATGATAATAAAAATCATCGTTACAGTGATAGTGGTTATTATGGAACTGAAGAATTGGATTCATGTTCTGTACAAGAATTACCAAAACCTGTTCGTACTTGCTGTGCATGTAATACAGCTATTTATCGTCTAATTATACAATCTGAATGGCAACAACAACAACACTGGAGAGATTGGCCTACTACACCAACTGGTGCCAGTGGATCAACAACTGAAAATCCACATTGGAGTGAAATTCTTGGCAAGTTCTTTGTTTTTTTCTTTTCTTATGAACATTTCCTATTAGTCTATTGAATTTACAAAAGAATGTTTATTAATTCATCAACATGATATGTTCGTTTTTTTGTTAATGATATTGACAATGTTATGCGACTAAGATGAGCAGGAAACACAAATGATCTATTCGAACGTTAAAAATGTACTTGTAATATTTCCGTGAATAGAAAATATGATTTCCGATATTTCTCAACTTAGTTTGAATCGTTTCATTAGAGAATAAGAAAATAAATTGAATTAACACAAATTGAAATAGTACTGAAGAACAAATGAAAATATTTAGAACAATCAAATGAACTCTAATTAAGCCAATGTCATATCATTCTGATTAAAAAGTATATTTTTGTTTATTTGAGTGGGTATGAAAAATGTGATAGTAAGGCCTTACAGTAAATTTTCTTCATAGTTTAAACTATGTTTTTAAATTATTTCAGCCTTTTTTTATATCAAATAGCATTCATTCACTGACTTAATTGTGGATTCTCCAGTTCTGTAGAATTATTAAGCCATTTATGTAACTTGTTTTTAATCAAATCTCTTCATTTTCGAAGGTGAATTCAGTATGAGCTGAGAAAGCAACTCTCAGCTTAGAAGTACTGATACACGTATTAACTACCCGTCTGTAGACAAATGAAAGACAAAGAGCAATTCATCATCACCAAAATGGTTTATTTTTACGAAATTTCCTCAAAGATGAATGTAATCGGATTTGAGTGTAACTTTAAGGATTTCGTTATTAAACAGATGCTTGAATGAAATCTTCTGATTAGAATGTCATTATTCTCCTAACTTATTTACGCCTGTTACCCATAGGTTGCCAACCAGCATTTCCCATAGAACTCTGTCTTGGGCAGTCTTTTCAGGTTACTATTAATTCATTTAATGTCTACTTCCGATTCCCAGCACAATATATTTCTTGGTTTTCTTTTTTGTTTTCCCTCAATATTCCATGTTAGAGCTTATCTCGTCATTCAGGTTGATGATTTCCGCAATGTATGTACTATCTGCCTACAGTGTCTTTTCCTAATTTCCTCTACAGCTGGAAGTTGGTTTGATCTCTCCCATAGTAGGCTGTTTTTGATGATATACAACCGGCGGATATTGAGTATGTTACGTAGACAATTGATTTGAAATGCTTGTACATTTTTGATGATGGTTGTAGTAGTCCTCCAAGTTTCAGATCCGTACAACAGAACTGCCTTGACATTCGTATTGAAGGTTCTAACTTTGATATTGATTGACAGTTTTTTTTGAATGCTGTCTTTTCTCTAACAGTCCGCGCCTGCATATCTGCATCCGATCTACCTTGTTCATTGATGATGCTGTCCAGGTACATGAAAGATTCCATCACTTCCAGAGCTTCTGCGTCAAATGTGATTGAATTAGTGTTCTCTGTGTTGTATTTTTGGTTGATACTTCCCCCGTTTGTTATGTCAAGGCCTACTAATGATACACTAGTTGTCTTCATCTGCATTTGTCGGTGTGTATAGGATTGAAGAACTAGGTGATTTGCATAGTCCGAATTGTCTAGTGGTATCCAAGCTGTACATTGTGTTCCGTGCTTCTTTTAAGATGTGGATATCTTCACAATCCAGTCAACCATCAGAAGAAAGACAAAGGGTGAGAGTAAGCAGCCTTATCTGACTCCGATCCTATTTTATTGATTGCTCGTCAATAATCCGTAGTGTTGAGACTGAGTCTGTGATTTGGTCCTTCACTGTTCTCTAGTAAACTGATAATACATTTCAATCACTTGTCGATGCGAATACTAGTGTATAAACACTGTTTAGGGTCAGAACTCAACTTATGATTACGCAAAAATAAAAGGGAAAAAAATAATTTTAGTAGTAAAACGGTTGTGACAGTTTACTTACAATCTCAAAAATGAATTCAATTAATCACATTAAATATTTGACCAAGTCTCTAACAAAGGACGAAAGTTATATTTTGTACTTTATATTATTCTATAATATTTCATAGATAGTATGACACATCATGTCATATATATATATATATATATATATATATATATATATATATTGGTGATGATTGAAATGCTTCACTGATCATATTTAACAAAATTAATAAGAAATCATAGTGAACTGATTTCAGTGTTAAAAACAACAGGAAATGTTAGAGTAACATACCAACCTAGAATATATTATTATTAACTAATACCTTGAATATGACTAGAGAACATAATTACCAACTTTTCTTTTAAGAATTTGACTGATATAGTATTACTGATTGTTATATACTAACAACAATGTCTTTTGCACTAACTGATTTTCACTACATAAAAAAATCCACGACCCCGCCCCCCGCGAGATTCGAACCCAGGACCTATGAGTCCTGTCAGTCGATGCACACTGCTGAGGAGTCCTATTCTAGGACGAAACGGCCGTCCAGTGCTTTCAAGTTTTCCTTGATGGTCTAGCTTCAATTAACTAATGATTTCAACTAGTGGAATTTCTAAAATCTCCACAAAACCCCTTCTGATTGTTATTATTGTCAAACTATTAAAGTACCAAATTGAAGTATCTCAGTCATCCTGACAATCACGTTCTAAACATTTTTTTCATCATTCTAGTATATTTTTAAAATTTGCATATAATAGGTATCAATGCCAAGGTTTGATTTGATAGTTTCAAGTAAGTTCAGCATTGAGTAGAAAGTTAATAATAAATATATTTTTGTTATATTCCAATGAGTAGAAAAAAATTGTATTTCTGACGTTTCGTGATTTAGTGTAAACCACTTCTTCAGAGTAAATAAATATCCGAAATAAATTAACACAAGTTTAAATAGTACAAAGGAAACGTTGTTTCCTGAAGTGGCTTACAAATAGTCACGAAACGTCAGAAATAAAATTTTTCTATTCATTGAAGCTTAACAAAAAATATATTTATTATCAAATTGTATATTACTTAATTTGCCGATTTCAACAAATCTTTTAAGTTTGTTTGTTCTTACAAAATAGATACGAACTTAAAAATAAACGTTGACATGCACACTATTAAATGATGCAGTGGCTGGCTCTATGTCATGCCCAAATAAAACTATTCTAGCTTTTGGATAGATCAATCTATTCATCTCCTTTAACCATATTTTGAACTTTGTCACTTATTCGCTCATCAACCTTGACTGGTTTTATGTAAGTCTATGGGTTTACATTTCTTATCTTACTCACCACATGTCTGCAACTTATTTTTGTCTGACTATAGATATTGATTCATGCTTAATTAGATTGAGCTAGTTCACTCGCCTTCTCCATTATGCGTCACTTAGTTTTATCCCACTTTCTGACCAACGATTGTAAAAAATATACGTGTTCAAAAATCCATTCTCATATCTGACTTATTTAATTCCATTATTAACCAACGCGTCTTAAGTCGATGATAGTATACGAGGATTAGTGACATGTGTATTTCGATAACAAGCAGCAAATGTTCTACCTGGAGTCAGATCTTGAGCCACTAAAATAAATCAATAATTATTCATTTGGATCTCTTTAACAATTACGTATTCTTATTAATAATTAATTGTTTATCGTTTCTTATTACTAAAACGTGTGTATAAATCGAATAAATGTCTTTCTTTTCTCTTGGAGATAAAACATATGGAACATGGTTTCATAATTCATTTTTATTGAATACAAGTGAAGTGTGTTGTTAATTGAAGTTAACTATTTATGAATGGATTTCTTAGAGGTAGATTATTTTCCAACTAAAAATTTATTTTATATTTTCACGAATATTATTCTTTTTGCAAAAGTTATCAATCAATAAGTTTTTAGTTAACCATAACTGTCAACTATGAGGATATTGAATGCAGCATAACCTAACAAAAATTACTCTTTTATATTCAGTATTAACTCTTACGATCAACAAAAAAATATAGTTATCAGTATAAGGGTTGTGGAAATTCCAGAATATTCTTCCGAAAGGTGATTGGACGGAACATCTTCGGCTCCTTCTGAGCCTCTTACAGCTTCCTCGAGTTCACCGGTGGTCCGTCGTCCCAGTTTTGATTGAGATCATGAACCGCGAACGCTTAACCTCTCGATCACTGACCTGGTATCCAACGGTGTTAATGTTTAACTTCAACCAATCTTCTTAGAGTTTCATTCAGTAAAAATTTTAGATTCCTAGAAATGATAACAGGAATGAGACATCTGTAACATCTACTGAAAAACAATAGATAATTCTTTTTGCGTTAACTTATGTTCGAATAAACTCCTACAATTGACTAGACGAATTCAAGTTAAATCAAACGTAAATAAATTGATTTTCAATTTGAACAACCTTAATTGTGATATTTTCAAGTTTATTCCATAGACGTTGTTAGTGTTCTTTTGTAATACGTATATCTGTTTACCTATTAATGGATAATGAATATCGATTAAATAGAAATTTTGTTTGTTCTTCCATACTTGAAAAGATGCTGGGATAACACTTTGAATGAAAATTAAAATAAGCTTAAACTAAAATTTCTATAATGCAATGAGGAGACGAAGGTTATCGGAATTATGTGATATATTTGCGCATTACATTTCGAACAACCTGATCATATATATATATATATATATATATATATATATATATATATATATATATTGAAACCCCCTTTATATGTTCTTATCTTTAACCTATGCAGCGTGGTTTCCACTTATTTTTTTGTGTGCTTTATCAATATCTTTGTTTCCACTTACCTTTCAATCGATCTAGTTAGCTTTGCCATCATTATAAAATGTCTTAAGTATATTATATTTGGTCAGAATGTCCGAAATATATCACATAATTCTAATCACTTTCGTCTACTCATTGAATTATCAAAATTGATCGAAGAAACTAATTGTTTTAAACTAAAACCTAATGAAAATTACAAAACTATGTAGTTTATCTTGGACAACAACTGAATTTGATAATTTATTCATCTTCACATTTTATTATTTTCATATGACTC